GACAATTGCTTTAATACTTTACTTATATATACACACAGGTCTTTCAAGAGCCCTCACAAATCTAATTAGTGGAGAAAGTCTGATGACCTCTGTTATATCAATAATTGTATTCAGTACTATTGTGAATATTAACTTCAAAAGACAATATTCGAAGGCCAAACCCCTAGGTAAGGACCCCCTTTTTTTTTCTCAATTTCTTAAAATAAGATTTCTGGATTTTCTGAAAGCTGACATGAGTTTCATAATATCTTGCCATAAACTATGCTTATAGATATAAAGTAGTATTAGTAAAGTATGGGTGCAGTGGCACATGCCTGTCATCCCAGCAGCTCAGGAGGCTAAAGCAGGAGGATCGCAAGTTCAAAACGAGCCTCAGCAAAAGCAAGGTGCTAAACAACTCAGTGAGACCCTGTCTCTAAATAAAATACAAAATTGGGCTGGGGATGTGGCTCAGTGATCAAGTGCCCCTGAATTCAATCCCCGGTACACCCCCCACCCCCCAAAAAAGAAAGAAAATAGTATTATATACTGATTTACCCTTTATATAGTGCTGCCACCACAGCATCCTTATTTAATTAATATCAGTTGTGGTTTTGTTGTGAATATGGATAGGAGCTTTTCCTAAGGATGCCTAAAAGAGCCAGATTCCCCAGACCTAGTCTAAACCAAAATGCTTGACAGGGATGTGAGTAGGGGCTGTCGTTAAGGTGCTGCAGAACAGCTAAGAGGATAAGCCAAGACGTATATTTACCAGTAGTGGGAGGAGACAGCTTCCCTTCCATTTGCCCTGGGACTATCTCCCAGGAGTATCACAGAAAGAGGTCAACCCAGGGAGAAAGTGAGTTACATAACCATCTACAGGGCCAGAGAGCAGTGCTTGCGGACACCTCTGCTTTGCCCACCCTATGTCTAAACTTCTAAGACTATTCTTTCCCAAGAAGACCCATCTTGGGGACTACTTCTCATCTCTTCCTTAAAGGAGCTTCCTTATCCAATTTGGGAATATGAAGCCCTTGCTTTCAGCCTCTGAGACTTGTGAGCAACAAACTAGTAAAAATTTCCTGCAAATATGATCTTCCTGAATATGACTAAGGTGAAAATAGGAGATTTTTCTGTGTCCAGAGCATCCTAAAAACTGAAGGGCCGCTGGGCACTGTGTCACATGCCTGTAATCCCAGCAGCTTGTGAGGATGAGGCAGGAAAATTGCAAGTTCAAAGCCAGCTTCAGCAAAAGCAGAGCACTAAGCAACTCACTGAGACCCTGCCTCTAAATAAAATACAAAATAGGACTGGGGATGTGGTTCAGTGGTCGAGTGCCCCTGAGTTCAATCCCCAGTACCCACCCCACCGCCAAAAAACAAACAAACAAACAAAAAAACTGAAGGGTCAACCTAGGGATAACTGAAAAGTACAAAGAAGTAAAATGGTTCATGCCAGTCAAGAAGATTCATGTCAGCTACTAGAATAGTATTGTACCGGGCCCCATTTAAAATACGA